AATTTTCTTTGTTTTTCATTTTCAGAGCAGCCTCCCTCTAGTACTAAATTGGATTCCAGTGGAGAGCGAACCTTCCTCTACCGCTAGGTAGAGCCACTTGGATGACTCTTGAAGTCAACTTTTCTATTTGTAATTTGATGAATAAATGAATTGTAATAAATGGTTATAGATGATGAATAAAGTGATGTTTATTTATTTGGCCTGTGTGAAAATATATGGAAAAAAAAAAATTCAGGATGTGACAATACACCCCGATAGCTAAAGAGCTATAATACATATGGAGTGTAAATTAACTCCCTCCAACGAATTGAAACAAGATAGATCGTTCAAGATTGAAGTTAGGGAAACTATTCTAATCACTTTATCAATGAAAATTTGATGAAGTAATTATAACAGCACTTTGATTCCCTTAAAATGCCACAAACTAAGAAGCTTGATAAGTTAAAAGGAAAAACAAATTTTTTTGGGTTTTGAATACCACAAGCAGAAAAGCTTGATAAGTTCCAAAATTCATGCAAGAACTTAAAAACAAAACACTCATCGGTGTTGAAAGTTGAATACACTTCTGAATTTTATTTCTTACAAAGGGAGTCAGTCTTGTTTATATAGTACAAAGGCCATGCACAAAGGGAATGAATCCATTAAATACATTAAATAATATTCATATTCCTAATGTATGAATGTAGATTACTCATGAATCTGCTTTGAATTGATTTGAATAATTATTCATGAATAAGCCCACAATTCCTAATATGGTCCAATATGGCTGAATGACTTTTATTCTTCAAAATGGGCTAAAAATTCATCCTTCTTTCAAGGCTAGACTTTCTCTTCACGATGCGGACTTATTTGAATCAGGTTGACTATTTTAGGCTCTTCTTATATCTATAGAACCTTGACCAAATTTTGACCAGCTTGCTCCTTCCAAATGCCTTCCAATAAACAAGTTAAGGCTTCTTTCATCATTTTATCTTTATCTCTTGTCATTGGTCCTCCATAAATAGTTAAAGGGTCTTTGACAGAATTATAATCAACTTGCTCATTCATATCAAGTAGTATCGGGGGTTGAACAATCTTCACAAGTTCGCACGTTAACTTGACGGGAACTTGCCTTCGTGCCCAACACCCGGTGAGCAGTTGTTAGCAGACTTACAACTGTTCGTTCTACCTTCTAAAGTCCTTGTTTTCTCCTTCCTCTCTTTTCTTCCTTGCACTCAAGGTGCTCACTAAATTGCTTGTAAAGCTTCCCTCTTCGCGAGATGTCGACACTTGTTTGTCGCTCGTTTTCAAACTAATCAACCTTTTGTTTCACAGGTCCTTCGGGACCTGTATGAGGTTGCAACTAGGTTGACCCTTTGGAGACGCATATGTCGCAAGGGCGCCTCATGACTTAGGCAATCCTAGCTAAGTCCGAGGAGTTGGCGCAATGGTGCTTCACGATTTAGGCAACTCCAGCTACGTCTGTGACTTTGCCGCAAGAGTGCCTCATGACTTAGGCAATTTTAGCTAAGTTCGTGACAGTATACCACCCAATATTTAGATCATAAAACTCGACGTGATGGTTAGTTATTCTTTTATATTGGATTTGCCATGTTGATATTTGTTGCAAAAAGTAAAGATCTAAATAAGCCAGAAGTGAAAATTTATTGAATTATTTTGATTTTATTGGATATGGTAAGAAAGGATTACAGGAAGTAGTGAGACAGAGAAATTGACTAACTCAGAGAGACAAGCCTAATGGACAAAATACCTAGGTTTTTTACTATTGAAAACATCAAAATAGTCAGATCAATGTTGCTTAGTTGCTAATGATTCTCTAAGATGCATAAATAACAAAAATACAATACAGATGTAGATGCTAATAATTATTGACTTTTGCTATTACATGCTGGAGATCAGCATTACACACAAGTAGCAGATTATTCAGAAAATTATAATACTAATCCAAGAAAATGGTTTAGTTCCCAGAAATCGAAAAGTTAAATATAAACTTGTTAAAACTAACATGTTCAGCATTCTTCGACTTATCAGTAGAAAATGTTTTCCTTGGATTCAACTACTCCATTTACTATCTGGCATCCAAAAATATAAATTCCCTTGCCTGAAGATAAAGAGACAGATAAGGCTCTAGCATCATATAAGAGCCAAGGGTTGAAGTGGATTGGAAGGCTTTTATGAGACAAAATTAGCCTTTTCCATTCCATAAGTGGATTGGGAGGTTTGCATAAAAGCAACATCCAGAAAAACTACCGGCAAAGGTCATCCAAACAAGTTATGATAAAAGTCTTGTAGCATAGAAATGTGCAAAATCTTATCAATGTTCTTAAGTATGCAGCACAGCAGCATATAAATGCACATAAGTTTCATGATCATTGGACGAATTTTACCTTACAAACACAGATTTATACAAGAGATTAGCAACAATACTCGATACAATAAATATCAATATTTCAAGGGAAAAAAGATGAAGGCAAATTTACCGGTGGCAAAATCGGGAGAGATGGGTAAAGCAGGACCGATTTGATCTCGATTTCCATGCGCGCACGACGACAAATCGAAGACCAACCTTTACAATTTGAAGCAAGGGCTGTTAAGGCATGAGAAGTTTTGATCAAAAGTAGAAGGTAAAAGAGGGATTGCAAAGGAAATACCAATACGAGGACTAGTATAACACGCAAGCTTTCTTTCATGT